ATTGCTGCAAAAGTCCGTCCACTGGTGGTGGCTGTCATGAAAGAGGTCCAGGAAGCCGCCTTGGAACTCTATGGCTTTGTGGTTGCTGCATTCATAGCTATCAAGCAATGGTTTACCTGCGAGCAACGAACCAGCCACGATCATGATGGACAGGCGCGAAGTATGTTCTTCTGACCTCGATATGATAACACGATTCTCATTCTCACAGATGCTTGGTGCAAACGTGTCGTCCTCGTTGTGACAGTAAAATCGGGCAGGTCCTACAAGGCAATCAAGGAAGCCATAGGGATTGATAGTGACTCTCCCAGAATGTACCGGAACAGAAGCGAAAATGGGTCACTTCCAGAACCACCCGGATTCATGCGTCATTTTGCCGTTTGCTTGGTGCCAGAGGCGGTTTGGATGGATGGAACAACGGACCTGCTGCAAAAATTCCAACATGGATCATTCTTCGAGCTCGTCGGTCCCAACGTAACTGACGAGGAAGGTGGTGGTGTCTGCTGGGGGGAGGAAAAGGTCCGGAGCATAGATGGAATCGTCGAGATCGGGTTGGTCACTTACGACAACGAAGCAATAATCGAGTCGTGTAAGTCAACATCCCGCCCCTCTGGCCTTCAGGCCACCTATCAGAGCTAATCAAAACGGAGCGATCAGTCTATAAACCACTGCGGGTAGCATGGGGAAGATATGACCCGATCTGGTGGAACTGTTCCGATTTCACCATCCGACTTGCATGTATAATTCTGCCAGACCCTGATGAAAAGGACATCCTGCGACGACTGCTGCTTTTCGTGTGCGCGTCTCGTCTACAGACCCTCGAGTTTGCCCTTGAACAATTGCACGGGAGAATATTCCTGTCAAGCTGGACTGCTGGCGTGGCATCATGGGCTGGCGGTGCTGGATCTGCTCTCTTATTGGGAGCGTTCCCTGCCGTGTTCCCAATTGCGTTCGTGGGGTCCTGTGCTTTTGGTATGGGATCTGGAATTGCGTATATGTGGCGCGCTAGTCGCGTTGGTACCAAAGAATATCCTAAATGGAAAGCACGGTCAAATGAGTTGGAGCAGCGGTTTCCCCAGCTTAGGGGGTTGGTTGGGGAGTGATTGATTTACAGTCTTCCCTGATGATAAATGCTAGGAGACAGGAGGTATGGAGTTCAGTGGGAAAGGAAAAGGTATAGATTGCTAGCAGACTGCAACAAGGCACATCCTCATTAGTACTCTTTCACGCAATGGAGACATCACTCAAGTGTATCAGCGAGTCAGTCCCCAGGTCCAAATTATGAGAAGTCACTCCAAGAACGATAATAATCACAACGGCCCAAAGCCAAGAAGGAAGAAAGTCAGCACCCCCAGCAGAAAGTAGAAACGAGCCCCAATCACCTGACGCATACGAGTCAGTCAGACATACGAGTCAACATGCCGAGAACTCCATTTGATTAACAAATATGCAACGGACAGAATTCCGCAGGAAAGTAAGCTAAATGACAAATCCACAAGTCTGAACCCATCTATCTACTACTATATCTGTAACATGATCTTTACCGTCGGTAAATGACGAACTACTATAGTACTACGTAGTAGACAACATGCACTAGGATCGAATAGATATTAGATAGATCCATCCAAATTGACCCCATAAGAATCCTGAGACAGACCGTTTTGAACCCACCCCCCACCGGTACTTAATACCTTATCCCCATTCGTTCAACGTACAGCTTACCTGAAGTGGTATGGTATAGATAAGTGCTTGCTTACCTTACCCTAAATGGTATGGATAACGGTCCCTCATAACTAACAGGTGCAAGGTGTAAATTGGTCAAAGGGCCTTGAATCCTTTCGGTTGTGTTGTCTGTCTGTCTGTTCGAACTCGGATCCTTCCTGCAGGTAGGTATCTTTGTCGGGACTTTCTTCTTATTTTGTCTTTTTCCCTTCTAGCCAGCCAAGGAAATTAGACGAATGCACGAATTGAATCAATTGCATGCCACGACTCTACTAGTTCTAGCCAAGTGGTCAGAATAAGACAAGTCAAGTAAGAAGTCAGTAAGCTGACAGCTGACGATCCGATCCGATCAGCTCACCCGGCACACACGACCCCAACCACCTCTACAATGTGAGAGAAGAATAAGAATAATCATGACATACGCGCACGCACACGACACTAGTGAGTTTATAGTAATTTTTTCATTCATTATCATTTAGATCATCTATTCTAGGATATTATGGTTATGTTTGGTGATGGTGGTGGTGCGTGTGTTTCCACCCCTGTCTCAGACAAGAGTAAAACCCGCTTGCTAGCTAACTAGGCACGTACCGGTAATAAAAAATAATACCCTTGCACAGCCTCGTCCGGTGCCAGGGCAGTGCAACTCAACTCAAACTCATCACACCCCCTACCGAAGCCAATATCCCCGTCGAATAGAAAGATACAGGGCCTGTTCCTCACGGACAGATGGCACCGGCTGGTTCGCCTTTCGACTGCCGATACATGTGTGAACGCCCACTCGTTCGCGTCCGATATCTCCGATGGACGGTCGCTCCATAGCCACTGGGGCATCGCGCTCGTCCGTTGGCAGGGCACCTGCTCCACCACGGGTGAGTTTCATGCTCTGTAAGCCGGGCAGGCGTAGCGATGGGTCGAAATTGATCAGCACGATCGCCTGATGTCCGGTCCCTTCCAGGCCTTCCTGATCGACCGAGTACACGAGGGACCGTTCGTCGGCGGCTGCCTGAACGGGGCCACAGCGCTTCGATGGGCAGAGCAGCTGAGTTAATTCCCGCGGGGCGTTGTCGGGGGGCCACAGACGGACCCCGCGTGAGGCGTAGCGTTCTTCACTGTGCTCAATCGGCTGGCCATCTGCATCGCTGAGTTCGGGACGGAAGAGCAGGCCGGGTTCGCCTTCGTCCCCGTTCTCGTCAATGGGACATTTGCGTTTGCGTGATACCGTGCGCACACGGAGTCGGTCATGCGGGATGAAGCTGCCGGGCGTGTCCGGGGAGGGGTCATTGACCAGATCGACAAACGTCGAAGCGGAGAGGTTGTAGCTGCGGAATTTGGTTTTGGCAAGAATGTAGTCATGTCGTTGGGCCGGTTCCGCGCCGTGTGCGTATTCCTGGTGGAAATGTCGGCGTAGACGCTTACGCGGGGGTTCGTAATTGGGTTTGCTGGTGGAGTCGAGGGTTCTGGTGAGAGGTTCGTCAGGGAGGGTGACGGGCGTTGCGTTGGGTGTGGAATCCAAGCCTTGCTGTTTATTCTGAGTGGCTTCGGCTGGGGACGGCAAAGGCTGCATGTAATATGTGCGTGCATTTTCACTCCTACCATCGCGCCATTCCCGGCGGCATTCGAGAATCATCAGTCGCTTGGTTGCCTCGTCCTGGCGCAGCGTGAGATCTGACCAGGTGTCATTGATCGGGCCTTCACGATGCTGACGACGCCAAGTACGGTTGGGCGTGATGAATCGTTTGGCAGCGTTAGATTTGGGGGGAATGCAAAGCCACACGTAGTACGAAGTCCAATCGACCTCCTCCGCTTCAAAGTCCACAAGTGTAGACACGGCGTAGAGGTGGTCCTGATGAACTTCAAAGCATACGGTCTGACCAATCTCGCTGCCGGCGAAGTTTTCCAGCACGGTTGGCTTCTCCGTCAGGTGCTGGCTTATCTTGAGATCCGCACAATGAATCGCCCATTGTGAATAGCCACGATCACCCACTGCGGTGTGCGTCCCATAGTATAGATAGGAGCCATTGTGTCGAACGAACAATCGTCGTGTGTGTTGGAGCCTTGTCAGGAGACGTAGCCGACCACATTTCTTGTTGTTCACTTTGCGGCGCATGTCCACTACCAGAAGCCAAGCTTCGGGCCTGTCTACAAACTCCACTGTGAATGCCAGAACCCAGTTACTGTAGTACATGAGGCAGACCTGGAACGTATCTGTCTGTGGATTGCACCCTTGGATGGCCCGGGATAGAACATTGTGGATGTTCAGCACCTGCTCAACTTGCCTGGCACCGTGCACATCTAGGACGCGGATTTCATCATTGTAGATGTAGCTGAGACAGCCTTCACTGTAGATGAAGGAGCTCGCATAAGCCAGAATGGAAGCTGAATACGGCTGTGCCGTTGCAACAGATTCCTTGATGTCGAATAGGCGCCCAAGAGCTCTGCGATACCCAGTCTTGGCCTGGTCTGCCTCTTGTCCTTCTTTTGTGTGCAGTAAATCATTCTAGAACAGTCAGTACAAACCCCGATTCGCAAACACTGCGGTGCCACTTACTTGGATCGTTTTACGCGCAATTGATTCATTTTGCACCAAATGATTTAATGCTCGGTTAACGCGGCTAAGATGAATGAGGTCGTGACAGTCGAGGGTAGAGGCCACTTGGTAGAATACATCATAAGGGATGCAGTCCAGATTTCTGACCATTTCAGATGTGACCATGGCGAATGGCAGAGCTGCGCACCATATATGGAGAGCGGAGGAGAAGGAGGAGGAAGAGGGAAAGGATGCGCGCACTGCCACACCGCACTTATACCATCGACGAGACAACAATATGAGCGATAATGTGAGAATCAACAGGAACAATGACGCAGATGAGCCCACGTATGGTTAAACACAATGTCAGTCGATCAGTGAGATGTTAGTGCCCGAACGTGAATGTTGGTACTTGTATTCACTGTTGATCAGAGGCGGCCAGATAGTATACAGAGAGTGTTGGTAGGGAATACAGCGATCCACATTGATTGAGCAAAAAGAAAAATAAGGTTTAGTGGGACAACACTTTAGACAACAAACAGCCATGCACTGGACACATGGACGCGACTGGATAAGGGAGCTGTTGAACAGCTGCCATGGTTTAACTATACCGATGGGGGCATGCGGCTCTGTTGTCGTAGGGTAAGCTTTACATGGATACGCCGGAGGGGCGAAAGAATGGAATGAAAAGTGGGATATTGGGTCCGAGAAGCAATATCATTGGCCTAAGGGACGCGGGAACATACTATCTGGGAGGCAGGAGGAGGAATGGAGATTCATAAGCCTAGCTCTTCCGTTGGAGATAGTCCAAGCGGCACAGTGCGACAGTCCGGCGAGACAGGCATCAGCGGCGACTCACTTTCAGCTAGCTTGACGAGGAGAGGGGCGGTCAAGCGGTAAACCCAAAACGGGGAGTGATGAGACGATTAGTTTTGGAATGGGGGAAGGGAGAGCCTCATACTAGTGGGAAATGAAGGTTCTTTTTCGGCTGCGTTACCAGGGGACAACCTGGGCAAGGCTGCATTCGAGTGAGCCGTGCGACTGACTGACTGACTTGACTGCCACTGTTTAGGCAGTGGCATTTGTTACTGCTACCACCACTACCACTTACTACTACTACCACTACTACCACTACTTCTACCAGCTGGTCCCACGCTAATTTTAGCAATGACCGACCGTAGAAACGGCACACCTCTTTTTGCCCCCTTCGGAGTTGGCAATCGGACCAGACTCTTATGAGAGGCCAAGCCAGACAGGCAGTAACAAAAACAAAACAAAAAACAAAACAAAAAAATATTTGGAGGCTCAACTGCCCAGCCGGATGGAGACGCAGCCGTGGCCAAGGCGTAGTAACAATTAAAGGAGCCCTGATGATTGAAGGGGATTGGAAGGCGAAGGAAGTTACGCAAGGGAGGCGGCGGGCTGGAAGTGACTGGGGACGACTGGGACTACGGAGTACTACTAGTAACTGTGCACTACTTACTAGACTAACTGATTTCGGATAAAATGCCATCATCCCATCGGACCTGCGCGGCTGCCATCATTCGCAGCCTCAAAAGCCTCCATCTCAAGTCACCTGCGGAGCCGCGTGCCTCCCATCTCCCGATCGCCCAACCCGGTCACGGAATTCCCTTCTTCGGTGGGTTTGGAATCTCAACACGAAACCTTGAGCTAATCTAGTATGCAAAGAGGGGAGGCTGAAATATGAAGGCTGAAATGAAACCTCCCCCCCTCTCTAATCATATGGCAAAACCCAACGGTGGCGAGTCGCAACGCTTTGCGGCTGAATTGGTTTATTAATTGATGCCTCAGGCTGGTAACCCCCGTGAGGCTGCGGTGATATCTAATCTTTCTCTCAAACTAGTGCGGCCCCTTCCTTCCATTACCCCGTCGGCAACCACCGGTGGGTATTTCGCGCATAGGGGCCATTGGTCATCTTGGTCGGGTGATAACCGTATTTCGGAGCTACGTCAGGGTCATCCTGCATTTCCGTACGAAGATCCTTCACTCATCAGCAAACTCCTGATCCTCCTCCAATCCCACTTTGCGATGATCAGAGCGCCAATTGTCTCCTCCAATGGCCATTGTCATACTGGGAGCAGGCTCCCGGTGCTATTCTGGTGATAAGGCCGGGGCATCCCGTGGCATGCATCAACCCCGCTTGCACTGCCTCGAATCTGCGTAACAGGCCCGGATAGCCTGAAACAGGTACCGAGCACCATCAAGGGAGAACGCACGGAGCCCTGAGCTGCACGTTTGGACCACATCAAACAAGCAGGGAATGACGGTGTTCTGGACCCTTGATGGGTAAGCACTTGTGGTCGAAATGATGGGGCAGCACTTGCTTGCTTGCTAACAGCCTTGCCGATTGCCCCAAACGTGCAACAACGCCTGGTCCGTGGCATGTTGTGCTGCCAATAGGATATATGCCGGTCGAGATAAGCACTTGCCATGTTTTTTGTCTTCTCTGTGACTGCGGGGGGTGATTGTGATCTATACACAGCTGCCGTCATCGTGGACGATCGCTGCGGCTTATTCCGCAAAGCACAATCTCACGATGCTCGCTGATCGCAAGACTTGACTTGGAGGCCGAGGGTGCGCATGTCGGCCGGCCAAGGAATGGCACAGTGCATGCGGACCTCATGGATCCTGGATCCATGGAAGTCCGGGCGAATGAGGTGAGCATTGCTGCTGCTTGCTCCGTTTGATGACTGTTGTTGTTGCTGTGAAGGGCGCACGCCATGCTGATTGTGGTCAAGCGCCAAGATGCGGTCACGAGAGGCAAGGCTAGCCGATGATCAAGGTGCGGAGTCAAGGTCAGTTAGGCTGAGAGAGAGCAACAGTCAGCGTGTCGATGAGTTGTAGGCCGACCAGGTTATTTAAAGGCTCCGTAGGGTAGAATTTTCCTTGGTCCGATAGAACTGACGTCGGGTCAAGACACCATTTGCCTTGGCTATAGAATTCTTTTGGCGAGGCTCGACCTGAAATATTGCTGTTAGGTTTCAACACCTAGTGCCCCGTTGAATGCATGATGGTTGATATGCTTCGACACGGCTAACAGAGCTCCTGGCTCACGTTGCTGGGAAAGAGAGCATGCCCCAAGAGACAAGCAGAAGAATAAAAGGGACGCATGTGAGCAGACAAAGGTACAAAAGGGTGTGCAGTGCCAAGCTGACTGTACTCTACCCGTGATGAGGATTGCGTAAACTGGCGACACCAGGATGCCAGGGATATGCAGACTTGACGAGTGTCATGTCCGGATGACAGCATCCTCTGGCGTCAGGTGACACCGCCAGATCATAACTGTGGTGCAAAGATGTATAAAACCATGCTTGTCCAACCACCACGACTCACCGATTAGGATGATCCTGCAGAACTAACTGAAAGACCGATCGAAAGAATCGGTCTTAGTGCAGCCAGAGCAGTTGTGACGATGACGATGATGCAGAGATGCTTAGTTACTGGCTACTTAGTACTCTGCATATCTACTTCGCACTATTGCCCCGCGCCACTCCAATGCCCCAATTTTCCCTCTAATGGATGGGTCACGTTTGCCCAGGTGACCCCAGATCTTCAACGCCCGGCCAAGTTTGCACAGCACATTTATTGATCGCCCTACCCGCTTGCAAACACTACATAGCCTTTGGGGGGCAGTGCAGACCTATCAGCAGCGCATGTAGGGAGACACCGCCCAGCATGACCAGCATTGGCGGGCAAACTTGCTGGACGATATTTCAAGGGGATTGGCTGGTGCCTAAAAGAGGGCTGCAGCGAACATTCCGGAAAGTTGCCCCGAATGGACAAGCGGGGAGGACCTGGAGGCGGTGGTTCCATGGAAGACGATGAGCTGTGACCGCAGATTCGTCCTGGCGGGTTCCTTATCGGGCCCAGGGCAACGTAAGAGGGCCCATATGATTACTAGGTTTTAGAATTTCTGCCTTCAATCACGTTAAATTTGTGAGGGATCGGCAACGAAACCGACCAGGTAGTTGGTCAGATGAAACGACCTCAAAAAGATGAAGAAGATGAGGAGAGGATGGTGTGTGTGTGTGTGTGTGTGTGTGTGTGCGTGCATCGAAACATCCAGAATAGAGGCTAAGTGCCTTCTGTCAACATGAGAGCCTCCTGGATATTGTAAGCAGCAGACTACGAGGACTCACGGGGAAGAGACAGAAAGGGGGCATAAGGAGATGCCGATAAAGCCGAACCCCTCGAATGCCACGACTCCCACAGTCATTTCCAACCTTTCTTTCTGCCCTACGCCTCGTGCACGACCCACACAGCCATCACCGAGCCAATCACTACTCAACACCGGCAGTGGAGAACGGGCCATCAGCCAGCCCTGTGACGGGCCAGGGAATCCAATTCATCCTGCTTTAAATCCCACCCGTTCACCGTTTTTCTCCCCTTCTCTCCCCTTTCCTTTTCTTTTCTTTTCTTGCAATAAAGTCATCCGGGATCCTCGCGTGCTCTTCATATCTCCAGACTAGTCCAGGATTCTGCCCCAAGTTCTTCAGCGTACACCCGGTGGACTGGTTCTCGACAGATCCCCACTGTTTCCCTACCGAGTCTCTGTATCTCCGCACAAACACACAGACCACCACTTCCCCTCGTCGCTTACTCTGATACCACGCTCGGTCTTCGCTGAAGTTATATTTAATTGCTATTGCGACTCCCCCGCTCACGGCACACTTTCCCTCACCCATCCGTTTCATCTCCCACGCCGTAATTGATGTACTACCACCACTCCCACCAGGGTTGGTCTGGTGACTACCCTCGGCAACAATCGTGGGGACCACCCCCGCCATCATCCTATCCTTACCCGTAAGCCTTTCAGGAACACTATGCGCGAATTACCTCCTAACCGGCCTCTCCAGATACTCATCCAACGCGCAATACCAACCTCCCCCAGGCCCACCTCCGACTTCTCATTACTCACCGCCCCCCGGCCCCCCGCCATCTCACTACTATCCTCCTCCTGGTAGTTATCCGTCTCCGGCACCTTCCCCTTACTACGGCCAGCACCATACTCCTACGCCGCCGCCTCAGTCGTCCTCACCTCATCAACGGTCTTATCACAGTAAGAGAGCTATTCCATAGTATCAATATGCGACTCAACCCATATTAACTTCATGTAGACCACTCGCCGTCATGGGGTCAGAACCTCCCGCCCCGCCCGCCTCAGGATTCGCAGCACTTTGGCAGGGGCGCCCCGTCCAATTACCGCTTCCAGTATTCCAACTGTACCGGTCGGCGTAAAGCCCTCCTAATCGGTATCAATTACATCGGGCAGCCGAACCAGCTGCGCGGGTGTATCAACGATGTTACCAACATGTCGACGTTCCTGAACCAGAAGTATGGATATCGCAGGGAGGACATGGTCATCCTCACAGATGATCAGAAGAACCCGATGAGTATACCGAACAAGGCCAACATCCTCAGGGCCATGCAATGGCTGGTGAAGGACGCGCAGCCCAACGACTCTCTATTCATCCACTTTTCGGGACACGGTGGTCGTACACCTGATCTTGATGGTGACGAGGAAGATGGTACGATGCACCCAAATAACTCCAGAAGACTGTAACTGACATCTCAGGTTACGATGATGTTATCTACCCGCTCGACTACCGCACCGCAGGACATATCGTGGACGATGACATGCACGCCATCATGTAAGTAACCCTTTGTGATCTATTTCCCTGTCGATACTGATGATTCAGGGTCCGTCCACTACGCCCCGGTGTCCGTCTAACCGCCATTTTCGACTCTTGCCACTCTGGAACCGCTCTCGATCTCCCCTATGTCTATTCCACGCAAGGTATCCTGAAGGAACCCAACCTCGCCAAGGAAGCAGCGATGGACCTATTCAGTGCCATCAACTCCTACGGAAAAGGCGATCTCAGCAGTGTCGCGCAGACTGCTATCGGCTTTTTCAAGAAGGCCGCCAACGGCGACACCGCGCGCCAACGGACCGTTATGACAAAGACCTCGCCTGCCGATGTGGTCATGTTCTCCGGCTCCAAGGACACCCAAACCTCGTAAGCAGCCCTACCTATCATATTCATCTCTAGTCCATCTACTTATCATGAATCTACAGTGCGGACACTTTCCAAGACGGTGAAGCCCGAGGAGCCCTAAGCTGGGCATTCATCAAGACCTTGCAGCAACGACCTAACCAAAGCTACCTGCAATTGCTGAACTCGATCCGCAATGAACTGGAAGGGAAGTATTCACAGAAGCCGCAGCTGAGCTGCAGCCATCCATTAGGTAGGTGCAATGCATCACTAGTTCCTCCGAGGACGGACAATGACTAACTGATTGCCCGGTAGATACCAATTTGCTTTTTGTGATGTGAGACGATCACGCAACACGATGCATAGCGAGAGATGATTTTTGGTTCATATTTTACATGTGCATATATAATTCCCAAACTATGGAGTTTCGGATTTTTTCCTTATGATCATGACAGTACTGAATGAACGAGGTATTACATATTTACTGTACACAATGAAACCGCGGGGATTTAATAACTCCGAACACTATTGATGCGATAAAGTTACTGTGCTCCTTACCTGTCTGAAGTTCAAACACTCCAGCTACGCCACCAACACATACCAAGCCACATTTCTCAGACTGAGAAAATAGCTCCTTGGCGGTTGTAGATAGGTAGCAGTTTTTAGGCAGCACAACATATACCATACAGATACGATTTCACCCTCTTCACCTTCCCGATAAACCAACAATGAATAAACATCTTTCCACATACCAATCACCCCACGTCCATCAAACCATGACCCTAACAATGAATATCCCCCACTAAACCTCAGATCACATAACACGCACGTAGATATCTACTACTTGGTAAATAAATGTCAATATTCCCCATACCCCAACTAATAATTGAATCAACATCAATAATATTACCTAAGAAAATTAACAGATCTTAACTAAACTATCGATCTAGGTACTAGTATAAAGCCCCTTTTTAGGGGTTGGTGGGGGATTCGGGCACGCCTTGCTTGAGATCTGTCATGTCTGGGGTGCAAATATCTGAGTAAGCGGGTATAAAGTACTCCGCAGTTAGGAGATTAATATGATAGGTTATATTTGGGGGTGCGGTGTTGGTAGTACTAGTACTTAGTACTTGCTTGGTTACTGAAAGGGGGGGAGGGGGGTTCTTTGTACTGGTTGTTGTTGGGTTGGGGAATGTGCTGAAGTAGTGGGGGAATATACTATGTTGTTTATTTGTGTGTTTAAGTGGTGGTGGTGGTGTGGTGTGTGTTAAATATATTATTACTAAGTAGTATGTGGTATACTCTATAGACCTTACAATATATATCATACTACTATGTTAGTATGTTATAGGTGTAATGAATCAAACAGAACTTGTGGCTATAGTAAGCGAAGAAGCAGTACAGTAAGCGTTCAATGATTAGCTACTAAAGTCAATCACTACCAAGCACTACTGTAACTTATAAACTACTACAACAATATCAGCCTGCAATATCAATCCCCCAGTTCAACACCTAACCCATATACCTAACCGTAGTACTAAGTGAGTATAAGCACTAGCATATAGTGGCAGGGTATCACTTCCCATCTCATCATCATCATCATCATCATGAATGTCTAAGACATTCATGTCTGATTCAGGTATATATAGCAATAAACTCTATATTTGGTACCTTTGTATGCATGTATATGCCAGTTGTAAATGTATCGACGTACATAGTGCTTCAAGTTGGTTACAGCAGTTGCAGTTGAGTATATTGATTGAATATCCCCTCCCGCCCGGAAATTTATGCATATCTGCCTACTTCCAATCCATTAGTACTTACTAGTAATGTTTGATGGTATCGGTCAATTCTTCCAGTTACTGGGGTACAGGCAGACAATATATATACAGCCTTACAGATGGGTAAATAGATACTAGATAAATAGATGATAGATGATCAATAATGTAACTATGCCTTGTGCATGATTTACCTGGGAATATTTCCATACGAGGTAATTTGAGTATGAAGAATTACAAAAGTAAGATACATACATACATACACACATAATGCCAGCAATCTCCGCTCCGGCCCCCCTGTTTCAGTCTGTTTCTCTTGGCAAAGGGTGTTTGTTCAGTGGGTTACCGTCGGGCTGATGTTCGTCTTACTCAAGTGGGAAGGGTGGGGTCGGGTTTTCCGGGTCCTCATTTCATATACATAACTTCTATATGAACTAACCATCTAGTCTAATTTACGGGATAGGGGAATGTGAAGAATTTGCACGCGCTTGTCCCTTAGGTAGTATTTAACTGACTAGTAATTGACTACAATAGGGGCTGAAAAATATCGGAATTATCGGCACGTAGTATCTAGTCTCGACTGCTAATCTATCAGATGCAAATTGGACTCCACTATATCTGACTCGATATCGTCCGTGGCTGGGCCGGGTGGGGTCCTCTGAGTAAGTAAGGCTGGTGCGTGATCTGCGCTGTTGTATAACGCTAGAAAACCTCAGATGAGATGAGATGAGATGATGAGATGGCTGAGCGCTAAGGGGTTTTGTTTGCTATGTTGGTTGTTGGTTGGACGGAGATGGGGTAGAGGTGACATCGAGGGTAAATACTTGGTTAGGCGATGTAGTACAGAACCCACCAAGAAAAGTATGCATTTAGATCACGATTGCGGTGAGCTTCTCTCATCAGGATAGATCAATTCTCGCGAACAAGCTGTGCTTGCGGCTGTTTGGTGGAGTACAGTGTGCCGGTAAATCTCTGCAATGGTTCCTGTACTTAGCTTGTGGATAAGGGTAATATAATCTCTTGGCTGGCGAGGTAGTATGTTCGTGCGGACTGGATCTGGCTCGCAGGGTCCGGCCTTCTCATCTTAGATTCGGTATGCCGTGTCTAGAATGGCGGCTCGTAGAATGGTTCATTTGATAATGCCATGCACTCTGGGTCGTCAAACATACCCAATTGAAGCTCTATCTGCCTCGATAGAGAGGTGAAAGTGGCTGGATGCTGCGGCAGATGATATTTTACTCGTCTGCATTCTCTCAAAAATCAAAAGCGACGAGTCTAGACAACGGTTACCAGTAGTTGCTGCAACATTCACTAGCCTTCAGTGCGCCTGAGGTCTATTGCTGCATTCTTGCCAACAATGAGCATATTGGATCAGACATATTCCAGAGCATCTTTCAACCGCAGGATAGAAGAACTAAGTTCACTAGTTAGCCCACAAAAACAATCGGAGCAGTCCGAAATCAATCGCAACCGATGCTTGGTACTGTGCAGTGTGCAATATCAGTGTGACCCATCTGATCCACACAGGCGGGATCGTGGCTAGATCCGAGATTTGTAAACAACCCGTAGCTCTTGTTGCGACTCGCGAGGGTACGGAGCATGACGGGCCAGGCCAGATCCGAGGTCAGTCACAACCCACAGGATCGAAAAGTGATCTCGCCACTTGATATACGAAATTGTGTGCGATGCGAAACAAGTAACGCGTCATTCGCGCTTGCGCTTTGTTCAAGACTCCATCGGAGGTCGGAAGATGCGCATTAAAGGCGTTGACTAAGGTGGAGATCCGGAGCGGTGGCTGTACGGCACATTGCATAGCCGTAAGACGAGACTAGCTGGCTAGCTGGCTGGCCGGAGGTAAAGTATACTTCTGCCTGGTGACAACAAACCAATGTCGTGTCAAAAATCATTCCGTATTTTCGGGAAAAAGAACCCAACATGACCGCTCGGTTGATCTGCCCGAGTCCACTGGCTGGAAAAAAACTCTGACCAGCGATCCTCGCAAAATGACAAAGCTTGGTATTGATGCAGGTGAGACATCGGAAAAGGCGTGATGGCTGAGGTGGTGCTTGCGCGGACTCCCATGACTCGGAAGGCGATGAAAGGCAGGCTGTGTGAGAAGCAGAGGAACAGAAATAGTATCCACCATTTTGTGCTGCATGCGATCCAAGCTCAGTCGGAGCCGGAGTTGGTTTCCGAGTTGAGTAATGAATGACCAGCGCTCATGGCACTTACCGTCTCTAGACTGCATTAATTGAAAGTGCAAAGGAAGCTGTAGCGACTCACGCAACAGAGGCACTGAAAATTGGTAATCACACCATCGGAGTCCATGGAAACCACGTATAACCAAAACAAGTAACAATGATAATTACTTATTTCACAATACTATGGTACTGCGGTTCCATTGAGCCGCAGATATCATGTCAATAAGGTGCCGGGATCGGCGAACCACGGCTGATCGGGGCCATTAAAGTTGAGTGAAAAAAATGTCCAGCTGGCTGCCGTGGCAGCTTGGCCAGCTGCCATTGGTAAATGTCTTCAGACATGGCCCCAGTTGGCTTTTTCCATGGGGCGCCAGCAGCCGCTGCTTCGGGTTCAATCAGGACGACGTCCCCCAGCCGGTTTTAAACCAACCAACCACGGAGCGTATAAAAGAAATTTTTATATTTTTCAGGGTAAATGCAAGATTGCCAATTTCCCCGGAGCGATTCATGAACAGGGGGGCCACACCCTTGAAGCTCATTTCCTTAATTTTCTTGGCTTTGAGATGTTACTGTTTCGGGGATAGTAAGCACTATACGAGTAAGTTAGCGAGGGAGTGGGAGCTCGCTAGAAAACCTCAGACCTTCCCTCCTAGGCCAAAGTCAGTTACGAGCGGGACGGAGTCACGCCTACATCGCAGGCCAATCCCTGTGCAATGCTACGCACATGCCCGTGTCCGGACCCACCCGCAGCAGCCGTGAGGACCCGATGAGATCATGTTCCAGCCCCGATTCAGCACTAGTGGCTGCATCTGATTCGCCAATGCTGGTAGATGGGGCTGGATGGAGTGGATGGTGTTTCACCTTGCAGGCAACGGGCAATGTGGCTGGCTCTGCACCTCCACGCTAAGCCCGTTAGTTCTGGCCCTTTCTGGGTCATAGTGCAGCCCGTGGGTTTTACACAGATTATTATTGTTATTTACTGCTTTACGAGAGAGGAAGAAAAGGGAAAAGAAAAAAGAGTCAGTGCCTACTCTGGCTGTTGTGTTCTGACTCTCTTAGGGGGTCTCCCCCCCGTTCAATGACCCCATTAACCCATTGAATTATGTCACTATGCATGTATGCACTTCGTATGGATGTATCCTGCAGGTCTCCAATACGGAAGCTTTACCATCCATACTTGAGTAAGTACTTCCTAGTATGCAAGTAGGAAGCAGTAGTGGACTAAAATCTCGCCATTCCGACCGGACTGTCTCTCATTATTGATGCCTACAGAGTAACAATAACCGACACACTTGCCTTCTCCAAACATACATACAAACAT